CTCTGACTCTGTGCTCTAGGATCACTCCTGGCAGGCTCAGGGGACCCTATGGGGTGCTGGGATCAAACTTGGGTCAGCTGCGTGAACAGCAAGCACCCTACCCGCTGTACTATGACTCAAGTCCATCATCTGTGTGTTTTATTTATTTATTTATATTTATTTATGGCTTTTGGAAATCACACCCAGTGATGCTCAGAGATTACTCCTGGCTCTGCACTCAGAAATTTCTTCTGGTGGTGCTCAGGGGACCATATGGGATGCTGGCGACCAAAACCAGCTCAGCTGCGTGCAAGGCAAATGCCCTACCCACTGTATAAATGCTCCAGCCCTATTTGTGCATTTTATTTTTTTTCTTTTTGGGTCACACCCAGTGATACACAGGGGTTACTCCTGGCTCAAGCACTCAGGAATTACTCCTGGCAGTGCTCGGGGATCATATGGGATGCTGGGAATTGAACCCAGGGGGATCATATGGGATGCTGGGAATTGAACCCAGGTCGGCTGCGTGCAAGGCAAACGCCCTACCCGCTGTGCTCTCGCTCCAGCCCCCCTATCTGTGCATTTTAAATGGATGCATTTTAAGATAAGTAAAGGATACTTTCACAAAGTTGATTTCAAGCACGTAAATTGAAATTATTCTCTCCAGGCTGACTTAAGATGGCCTGTGCCTAAGATATTTTGTGCTTGAGATACTAACAACAGGAGGCCGGAGTGACAGTAAGGGGTCAGGTGTGTGCCTTTCACATGGTCAATGAGTTTAATTCCTGGCATCAAACAAATCTCAGTCCCCTGAGCACTGCCAGAAGTGACCCCTGTTCAGAGCCAGCAGTAGCCCCCCAGCACAGTTGGGAGTGGCCCCCAAACAAACAAATAATATTAAGAACAGGTGCTTTGGGTGTAGACAAAGTCATGAAGACAATCTACCACACGGTGAAGTTGGGCTCAACAACTAAACGGGCAGCGGGAAGACAGAGTGAATGAATGAGCGAACGAATGAATGAATGAATGAGTGGATAAAAGGTAAGTGCACAAGTAAATTAACACCAACACGCCACTCCCCACAGTAACAAAGCTGTTCCCCACAGCTTCAGCACGACAAATTGATGGACAAGGGTCCCTTCTCAGGCTGGAGTGATAGCACAGCGGGTAGGGCGGTTGCCTAGCACGCAGCCGACCCGGGTTCGAGTCCCAGCATCCCATATGGTCCCCTGAGCACCGCCAGGAGTCATTCCCAAGTGCATGAGCCAGGAGTAACCTGTGTGCATTGCCGGGTGTGACCCGAAAAGAAAAAAAAAGGGGGGCCTTCTCCACCTGGGGCTCCTGCCCAGGGTGCTCTGGAACTCACGTTACAGCCTTCAGGGGCCTGAGCACTAGGCCCGCGCGATTTTCCCTTGTACTAGCTGACACCCCTGCTCATCACTTGTCCTCTGCGATGTCCCAGACCCTTTACTTAGGGACCCACCCCCTCCATCCGCTGGTTCATTCACTCATTTGTTCAGTCTCAGAGCACCAATGACGGGCCGCAGCATCCCCCACCCCCACCCGGGTTCAGCACCTGGACGGGACGCACCTGCCGCCGCTCACCCCGCGCCCGCGGGCCCAGCACGAGCCCCCGGGCGGGCGCTCCGAGAACCCGCGCGCGGGAGCGCGGGGGGGGGGAGACGGCGCGGACCGGGGCAGCCCGGGGAGCCCCGGGGGAGGCGGCGGCGGGCCTGGAAGACATTACACGGCTGTCGGCCGGGGGGCGTCGCCGCGAGTTCCGGAGGGTCCCGGCGCGGACGCGGGGGAGGGGGCTGCACAAAGCGCGCTTTGTTCCCGCCGCCCCCGGGCTGGAACCAATGGATTGGCGGCAGCTGAGGTCATCCGTCAGGCAGCGCCGGGGGTCAGGCCCGGGAAGGGGCCCGCGGGGATGGGGGGTGGGGGCGCTGGGGACCCCCCGGCAGGTCAGCGTGGGGCACCGGTCCCAGCCTCAGTTTCCCCGTTTGTCTAACTGGGAAGACGGTTTCTGCCCTGACCACCCCAGCGGCAGGTACGGGGCGCCACCGGCCTGCTCCATCAAAGAGGGAGGGTAGGGATGAGAACCCCAAAGTCTGGGTGGGGAGTGGAGGCTGGTGGGTTTGTGGCTCACAGACACCTGGGTGTGCAGGAGTGGGGGGGGGCGCAGACGCTGGGGTGTCCGGGTTCTCTGCTTGGACCCTGGACTCCAGGCTTGGTCTGCCTTTGGTCAGGCCTTCTGGAGTTCCTTGGAACCATCCTCTGTGGCCCCTTGTGCAGCGTAGACCTGCCTCCACACACCAGGCACTTTTCTGATTGGAGGCAGGTGAAGTCTGAACACTTCCTTCTACCCCTGCAAACTCACTTATACCCCACCAGTGTGCCTGTTCCCCAGATGATGAGACGGTTGGCTTTTAAACACTGCTGAGGGGCTGGAGTGATAGCACAGCGGGTGGGGCGTTTGCCTTGCACGTGGCCGACCCGGGTTCAATTCCAAGTATCCCATGTGGTCCCTTGAGTACCGCCAGGAGTAATTCCCAAGTGCAAAGCCAGGAAAAACCCCTGTGCATCGCTGGGTGTGACCCAAAAAGCAAAAAACAAACAAACAAGAAAACACTACTGAGACCATCAAGGAGCCCCAGAAATTGTCAAAAGGTAAGTGAGTGTGTGTGTGTGTGTGATATGTAGGATTTCTGGAGATGGGCTTATGGTTTTCTTCAAATTCCCAGATTGGTATGTTCATGACCCAAGACAGGTCAAGAGCAAAGTTCCTAGTTAACGTTTACAGAGATGACTTCCCAAAGTCCGTGCACAGGAGTGCTTCTGTCTCACACAGCTGTTTTGTTACAGTTGTCCCTCCCAAGAGGGATAGATGCCAAGACCCCCAAGTGTACCAATATCCAAAGATGTTCAGTCCCTTATATAAGTCACCTCTAGATTATGGATAAAGCCTACTTGAGGGGCTGGAGTGATAGTACAGTGGTAGGGTGCTTGCCTTGCGTGCATCTGACTGAGGGTTGATCCCAGGCACCCCATATGGTCCTCTGAGCACAGCCAGGAGTGACCCCTGAGTGCAAAGCAGGAATAAGTCCTGAGCACAGCTGGGAGTGACCCCAAATCAAACAACAACAAAAAACTAGTAGAAGGTTTGCAAATAAGTGTTAGACTGTATGGGGTAGGCCACAGCATGAGGAGAGCTAGTGTTTGTTCAGTACAGACATGACCATCAAAGCTCTATGAGCATCGCCCTGTTTTCTCGGCAGTTAATTGAATCCACGGACATGAAAACCTTGGAAGCAGAGAAACAACTGCTACTTAACTCTTTAAAAAATTATGTAACCCGTGGTGGTGGAAAATGGGCACTGGTGGAGGGATGGGGACTCGATCATTGTATAACTGAAACCCAAGCACAAAAATTTGTAAGTCTATAACTGTACCTCACGGTGTTTCACTAATAAAAAAATAAATAAATAAATAAAATTAAAAATTATGTAAAAAGTTAAAGAAAAAAATAAACCATTTAACTTACAAAAATATGTATACATTGGCTAAAGCAATAATGCTTCACATGGACTTATAGGAATGGAAAGTTTATACTAAGAAATAGCTTATGGCTATACGATATTACATTCAAATGCACGAAAATGTGTGTTTGGGGATATGTATCCAGACGTGCAGGGTACTCTGGAAACAATCTGCAGGAGCTACAAGAAACAACAGGTTTAATATTAATAATTCCTAATCCCATGTCTGTTATTTGAATATGGTAAACCGTCAGAGCACTTTTTTTTCTTTTGGGGGTCACACCCGGCAATACTCAGGGCTTGTTCCTGGCTCTGCACACAGGACTTACTTAGGGGACCATATGTCGTGCAAAGGATTGAACCCAGGTCGGCTGTCCTACATCTGTATTATCTCTCCAACCCACTATGTTAATTGTTAAAGGGGAATATACTCACATAATGTGTGCAATTAAAAAAGATGTATTAAAAAGTCTGCCGTGAAGATTAAGGGCCCCCTCCCTACACATTGCCTTTCTCTGGACCCAGGTTCGTTGGAGCTGCAGTTTGTTGGCTGAACACACGCAGAGTAGCGTCAGGGGCATGTGACTCCGTCTGGAGCACCTGGAGGCTCCTTGGAGGAGGTGTTGCAGAGCTGGAGATCAGAACCTTCAGTATAGAGAATAGGAGACAGGCCTGGGGATACTCTGTGTACCAGGCCACCAGACTGAGCGAACAGGACAGGTAGAACCTGCAGGGCCAGATTTACACCTGTTTCTTTCCTTACCACGTGTGGCTTGGCCAGGGCATGGGGCACCTCCCCTGCACCCGTTAGCGCTGACCCGCGGGTTCCGGCACGTTGGAGAGTAGCGCCACCTGCTGGTATAAATAGGAAGCGCAGCTCTCAGCCTTTGAAAACAAGCAGGTTGGATCCCTCAAGCCCCACCCAGCTCCTTTTCGTCCATCACAAGCGACCCTCTTACTAGCAGTTTGTTCCACATCGCCCCCTTGTGTCTGCTAATATCCCTTGCACCACCTGCGTGGGTCTTGACCTGTAAGAAGCAAGAGCCCTTCCGCGAAAGGGCAACCACCCCTGTACTCTCCCAGAAAGGGAAGTAATTGATTATCATGACAAGGAGGCACCTTGAGATAAGGATGTCAAAGTCTGTGTTCCACTTCCTTGCACTTGGGAGTAAAGAGCCAATTGGTCGGCTTGCCCAGTGTCCTGTGGTGAATGGGCACCAAGCTGGCCCCAGAACACGGATCTCTGGGTACTCAGCTAGCAGACTTCTCTTCCACCAGGTGGGGTGACCCTATCTGTAAACAGCCCATGTCAGCTGGACCCATGGTTCCCAGCCTGTAGTTCACGAACGGCAGCATCAGCGAGACGAAGGAACTTGTCTGTTCACAAATGCTGAGGCTTCACCCCAGACCACTGAATCTGAAACTGGGGGGTGAGGACCACTTGAGAACCATGGTCACTGGCCTAAAGCAACAACTCCTCTCTCTTAGTCACAACTTTATTTTGGAATGATTTTTGTTTGACAGTAGGGTTCCAAAGTTAGTACAGGGAGTTCCCATTCTCAACATCGGTGTATAAACTCGCATGTGGACTTTACTCAGATTTCCGGTTTTCCCATGAACGCCCCTGCCCCCCAGCTCTGATCCACTCTGGGAGATCATCCTGCATTTAGGGATAGTGAGCTGGCCAGACTGAGATATTCAAATGCCAAGTGACCACGTTCCCCAAGCAGGGCAGTGGGTATGTGCCATCTGCCTCACTCTGCTCTCGTCCTCCTCCTCTTCCTCCATGAGTTCAGAAGCTCCCTTGGAATGTCCCACCTGGCCTGACCCTGTCCCATCCCATCAGGATGGAGATTCTCTCACTAGCGTGGGCCTGGCCCTGGAGGAGAGACCCCCTGCCCCACCACCTCGTTCCCTCTAGAGGGCCAGGACAATGTCTTAGTGACTTCGGTCTGGGCAGAGCAAGGCCCTATGCTGAGGAGAAACAGTGAGCAAGACTGCTATTTGCTTACACAGCATCATCTTGGAGGGATGGAAAATGACCCAGAGCTTCAGCAGTTTCTCCTTCAGGCCCATTTCCTCACTCTCTGAATCTGGGTCAGTCTTATTATTTGCTCTGGCCAGAAGTAACTTAGCAAAGTGATGTGGCGGGTTTCAGGGGCTAGAATTTTAAAAGCCTGTAAGGGGCTGGAGAAATCGTACAGTTTGTAGGGTGCTCACCTTGCCTGCAGCCACATGGGTTGGATCCCCGCCACTCCCTATGGTTCCCTGAGCCCTGCCAGAAGAGATCCCTGAGCACAGAGCCAGGCGTAAACCCTAAGCACCGCCAGGTATGGCCCCAAACCCAAAACAAAATAACATATAAAGTCTTCACGTTCTTCCTTTCTGGGATCCCTGAGGCCATCCCGCAAGTGAGCCTCAGTCCATCTGCTGCAGGTCACCTAGAACCAAGGCACCCAGCCAATAGCAGGACCCCAGAGTAAGGCTCCCCTAGGCCCAGCTCCATCTGACACTGACCGCTGATGGTACACAGACCCATGAGTGGCCCGTGGTGAGGCCAGCAGAACTATTGGAAAGAGGCCAGCCAAACCACCAACTCACAATACTGTGAGGAAAAAAACATATTTTTAAATTAAAAATATTATTTCCCGGCCAGAGTGACAGTACAGCAGGTAGGGCGCTTGCCTTACATGCAAGCAACCTGAGTTTGGTCCTCTACATCCCATATGGTCCCTCAAGCACCATCAGGAGTGGACCCTGAGCGCAGAGCCAGGAGTAACCCCTGAGCATCGCTAGGTGTGACCCCAAAACAAACAAACCAGATTATTACTTTCATAGTTGCCACCCCAGTGATGTTCCACCCCTTCTAATGGTTCTAATGCCCGAGTTTTAGCAGTGCAGTGCTCAGGGAGCACCAGGGACACACCTGCCAGCACCTGGAGGCCCATGTAGTTCGGGGGATCGACTTGGGGTCTCACACATGGGCTTGAACTCTTCAGCTCTCTTCCCAGCCAAGGTAACTGGTTCTCAGCTGCTAACTTTGGGGCTGGTTTGTTACATGGCAAAGGTTACCTGACACAATTTCTCCTTGTTTTTCTCAGCAGGGGGATTTCAATTTTAATTCAGGAAGGCAGGGGCCAACCCCAGGAAGCAGTTACTGTACTCAAGTATGCCAATTCCTCGCTTGCTCTGCAGCTCGGGGTGGCAATGGCTTCGGTTTGAGCCAAGGGAATGTTTAGGGGCTGCAAACAGGAAAGAGGCCTCTTAAGGTCAGGTGACAGACCCAGCCGGTTTGGTCTGTCCTCCTCCCCGCCCTGCTTATCTTCCTAGGACACAGGCATGATTCCTGGCAGGAGAGCAGTCACCCTGGAACCCGGAAATGAAGGAAAGAGCAGAAGGACCCCAGAGACGGGCCCCACCTCCTCTGAGATGCTGTACCTACACCCGTCTCCAGCACTCAGACTACATGGCAAAACAGACTTCCATCGGGTTCCCTTTACTGACAGCTGAGGGCATGCCACACACCGGGGCAGTTAAAGACAGAAATGCAAGGGGGGACCTTGTCCTTGGGAGTCTGGAGCCAGCAGCCCATGGTGCCCAGTGCCATCCTCAAGGGTGGTTTACAGCCAGGACATGCCCCACTGCCACAAGGCAGGGTCTGGGGTCCCCAGGCTGTTCAGTGGTGAGTCCGAGAGCCGAGAGGGATTTGGCAGCAGGCGGGAAAGTCCGGCCCCCTGCTCTGCCTCCTTCAGATCCAGCTGGTGGAAGCTGCGTGTGTCTTCTGGGCCCTTGGGCGCCCTGGCAAGTAACCAGGTTATTGCAAGTCCGGTGTGGACGCGCCCAGGTACACCCTTAGGTCCGAGAGGGTGGACTGGACAAGCTTGGCGGGGATGGTCTCTCGCTGCAGCTGCTGGTACGCTGCATAGCGGTGGCAGCCCCCGAAGGAATAAAAGTAATCCCCACCCTGCGCCCCTTTGATCCAGAGGACGTCGATGGGGGGTACACTGTCCGGGTCCTCCTGGAGAGAAGGGACACAGGGTTAGTATGCACAGCACCCCACTCTACAGTTTGCAAAGCAATTTTTTTTTTGCGGGGAGGACTCTCAGGCAGTGCTCAGGAGGTGTGAAACCCCCCCCCCCCCCCCACTGCGATTCTCAACCAGCTGGGTGGTAGGTTCAGCACAAGAACCTGAAATGTGATGCCACTTGGGTCCTGCAAGAATGAGCAGCGGCAATACCTAGTCCTCCAGGACCACCCCCAGCGGTACTCTGGGCACCAAGCGGGGCCAGCAAATGAACCCAGGTCAGGCACGCACGCTCGCCTGACACATGCCCTAATTGCTTCATGGTCTCCTGCCCCGTGCAAAACGCCTTTAGTTCCCCTGTATGAAGCTCCATGACGGTGCTCACAGGGGCTCTGGCTGGCGTGGAAATCAGCCGCGGTGAGGATATTTGTTTTAGTTTTGAGGCCACATCCGGTGATGCTCAGTGACTCGTGGCTCTGCACTCAGAAATCACTCCCAACATTGCTCTGGGACTATATGGGATGCTGGGGATTGAACCCAGGTTGACCACACAGATGCAAAGCAAGCGCCCTACCCACTGTACTACCGCTTCCGCCCATGGTAAGGATATTTACACCAGAGAAATGGGCAGCTGCTCCAAGCCCAGGCTTTGCCGCCCCTGATGGTGACTGAGCTGTTAAACAGTTATCAACAGCCAGTGCCTCTGTCCTAGACTCGGCCAGACACAGCTCCCGTGCTCACGGGGCAACGGTCTCGCAGGGCAGAAGGAAGAAGCTCAAGTTACTGCATGCTAAGGAGACAACAGCACAGGTGGTACCGCAGGGCAGGGCGGGGGCACAAAATTTCCCCAAGGGGGCAGTGAGGCAGTGGGGCCCCTCCTGGGACAGTCGACTTGGGAGGATGAGTGGTGGAGTTGGCTAGAGTGTCTTAACCGCCCGTTGGGAACCTCTGCTCTGCCACCCCGCAACCTTGAGACCTGGGACAGCTCATGTCCTGGTGCCTTGGAGGCCCCGTCTGTCAATGTGGAAGCCCCCACTGGCCTCGGAAAACTGGAGCGAAAAACGAGTGAATGCGTACAAAGTGCTCAGTGAGGAATAGTACAGTGGGTAAGGCCTTGTTCGACCTAGGTTTGATGCCCAGCACCACTTGTGGTTCCCTGAGCCCCACCAGGAGCGACCCTGAGCACAGAGCCAGTGTTAGCCCTGAGCACTGCCGGATGTGACCCTAAGCCAAGCAACCAACCAAACGTTTAGCCAGAGGAGTGAGAACAGAGAGGATGCAGGGCAGGCAGGTAGGCAGCTGGGAGTGCCCGCAGGGGCTATCACTTATGGGACTGGGAGATTTTCTGCCAAAAAACACGCGAAGCAAAGAAAAAAAGTGCCCCCCCCACCGCTACCCCAAAAGGCCTGTAAAGATTAAGCTGGGGGGAGCAGGGGAGAAGGGGAGTTAATAGAATGCGTTGCGTTGCACACTGTGGGCCTGGGTTCCCCTATGGTCCCCTGAACCCCGCCAGGACTAACTCTGAGGACAGAGCCAGGAGTTAAGTCCTGAGCATTGCCAGGCGTGGCCCCAAAACAAAACAAAAAATTAAGTTCCTGTTCCTTCAGAGTTCAGGTGAGTTGGGGCAAACAGCTGAGAAAACCTACCCACTAAATGCGTGCTGTAACTCTGGGGGGCTTTTTCTGGAGATACTTCCACTTAAGAGGTGAGTGCTAGGGAGCAGGGAGGCGGGCCTGCTTGGGGGCGGGCTGTGTGGTCCTTTAGGGAGAGGGACCAGCAGGGGAGATCATGGGGCCGAAAGAGATACTGGCTCATGGGTCTGGGGACAGGGGGAGGGGGCCTGGCCCTCCCTCCTGTGGTCACCTTCCAAGGGGAATCGAGCCCACGCCCACCAAACCCGAGCCCATGCCCACCAAACCCGACCTGGGTCCCTCCCTCCCCGAAACTTCCTGCTAGGGTCACTCCAGCAGTCCGCTGCCCCTCTGCTGGGGGCTGGCCTGTCCCCTCCCAGCTGCAACCCCAGCAGAGGTGACACCGTCGCTTCCACTGCCACGAACTCACAGGGGCCACTTCCTAACAGCCTGACCTTGAGCAAGGCACTCAGCCTCCTCCTCTGTGACGGAGGGACGGTCAGTATGCAGCGCCCAGTATGATGGGCCCGGGGGCAGGGGCTGACTCTTCACCAAGTTAGCCCTCCTTACTGGGTACGTTCTCGCGGCTCAGCGTGGGGGGCGGGGAGACCCCGAGGCGCAGAGCCTTGCTCAAGGTCACACCGCGAGTGCTGAGCTCCTGCGGCCGGTGGGGGACCACCCCCACCCACCTACCCAAGCCACCCCGATCCCGCGCACCCTCCCTCCTCGCGCCGCCCGGGGCCCCTCACCCGGATGGTGTCCACGAGACTCTGCACCTTGGCCGGGTCCAGCACGGAGGGCAGCGGGCGGATGAGCACCCGGAGCGGCACGTTGTGCACGGCGGCGATGCAGCCCGAGTGGATGCTGCCGCCCTGGGCGGGCCCCTCGGGCGCCCCTCGGTGCGGCCCGGGCCTCCCGAGCGCTCCCCCGGCGCGGAGCCCCATCGCGGGCGGCGGGCGGCGGCTGGGGCGGGCGCGCCGCCTCCCGGGCCTTTAAGCCGGCCGGGCCGTACCACCAGCGCGCGCGGCGGGGAGAGGCCGGGGCGCGCGCGGCTCCCCGCGGGACGCGCTCCCCGCGCGCGCCGGGCCGGGCCGCCCCGGGGAGGGGGGGGCGCTCGCACGGGGCGGGGGGGCCCGGCCGCCGCGCTCGGGGGGGCGCTGGAGGCGGGGAGAGGAGGGGCGGGGGCCCTGCGGCCGCGCTGGGTCCGGCCGGTGGAAGCGCCGGGGCGGGCTGACTCAGGGTGAGTTTGCAGAGTCGCGGCTGACGCACAATCGGGGTGACTCACGGGCTCGGCGCGGGCCGCTGGGGCAGGTAGGGGGGCGGCGGGCTCTGCAGCACCAGGATGAGTCGGCAGAACCCGCGGGGCCCGGCCGCCCCCACGCCTGGCCCGCCAGCGCCTGCCAGGGCCGTGCCCACCCACTCCCTGCGCGGCGGCGGCTGCGGCGGCGCCCGGGACGCTCGCTCTGCGGGTGGGCTTCGCGCGACCCTGCAGCGTGGGCTGGAAGAGGAGGAGGAGGAGGGTGGTGACAGACGCGCCAGAGGACCTCAGCGGCTCGCTCGAGGTCGTGGAGCTAGTAAGGGCCCGAACTGGGGCTTCAGAGCCTGCCCCCGAGTGGATGCTCCCGCCCTGCGGGGGTCCCTCGGCCCAGGCCTCCCGAGCGCTCCCCCGCGCATCCCCATCTGCGCTCTTCTTCCCCCCCGGCCCGCGAACGTAACGGCCCCAAGGCACCTTCTGGAACCCTGCCGACCATGCGTGGGCACCGGCCCGCAGGTCTTCGGGAAACCTTGGGGTTATTATTCCCGCGGCCAGGGGAGGGCAGCAGGGAGTGGAGGCCAGCTGGCCCGCAGTTCCGCGTGTCAGCCGCTGGGGCCCGGAGATAAGAGGTCCCCAAAGGCCGCCCAGCAGCTCTCCTGGTCGGGGCTGAGTCCTCTGGGGCGAGGGAGGGGAGGGGGAGGAAACGAGGCTCCTGGTTTAGATTCCAGATACTGGGACTGGAGCGATAGTACAGCGGGTAGAGCGCTTACCTTGCACGCGGCAGACCTGAGTGGAGCCAGGTGTGGTCCCATAAGAAAAACACTGTAGCACTGTCACTGTAGCATGATGTCCTCCTGTTGTTCATCAGTTTGTTCCAGCAGGCACCAATAACGTCTCTATTGTGAGACTTTTTGTTACTCTGTTTGGTATATCCAATACGCCACAGGGAGCTTGCCAGGCTCTGCCCGAGAGGGACGGAGGAATCGAACCCAAGTTGGCCACATGCAAGGCAAATGCCCTACCGGGTGCTCTCGCACCACATACTCATCAGTATGTGGGCAATCCCAGGAATTTGACACAGATTGGCTCACTGAGCCTCCTGCTGTGTAAAAATGGTTGTGAAAAGGGGATCAGTGCAGTACCTTGCACAGGGCAGAACCGGGTTCGATTTCTGGCACCCTTTAAGAGCCAGGAGCAACCCCTGAGCACCACCGGGTATAGCCCCAAAACAAAAACAGAACAACAGAAATGGCAAGTTTGTAGGGAGAGTGTGAGGTTCCTGGCCCAGTGTGTGTGTGTGTGTGGGGGGGGGGGGATTGGGTGTAGATTAGTGCTTCCATATAGTGTAACCAAGGACAGCAGCTGGTTTGGCTGAGTGGGAGCCATGTTCCACTGAGCATGGAGAGGGGCTTCCCGACGACCGGGCCTTTCACTAGAAAATGGCTCGGGCCCAGAGAGGGCAAGAGAAGAAGCAGGAGGTGATGTGAGTATCAAGTCTGGGGTCCTACAAAGATCTGGATTTGAATGCTGGGTCCTTCTCCTCCTCAACTTCTCCTTGCCTCCATTTCTTCTCTGGATGGCCAGGGAGAGTATGAGAGAGCAGCCCGTGAGGCAGCCAGCAGGTAGCAGGGGCTGAGCCACCGTGCATGTGAAGGACACTACCACAGGAGTAGCTCGGACAGACCCAGAGACCGGGCAGCCCCACACCTGGCTGAAGACTGGCGCCGGGGCATCTCCTCCATCTGGCTGGCATGTAAGGAACACCACCTTGGTGGTTTTGTTTTTGTTTTTCTTTTTGGGTCACACCCGGCAATGCACAGGGTTTACTCCTGGCTCTGCACTCAGCAATTACCCCGGGTGGTCCTCAGGGGACCATATGGATGCTGGGAAATAAACCTGGGTAGGCCACGTGCAAGGCAAAAATGCCCTACCTGCTGTGCTATCGCTCCAGCCCCCTTGGTGCTTTTTTTAAAAAATATTTTTAGGGGCTAAGCGATAGCACAGCGGGTAGGGCGTTTGCCTTGCACACAGCCAACCCAGGTTTGATTTCCAGCATCCCATATGGTCCCCCAAGGACCGCCAGGAGTGATTCCTGAGTGCAGAGCCAGGAGTGAACCCTGGGCATCACCGGGTGTGACCCAAAAAGCCAAAAAAAATATATTTTTAAGACAGAAGAGAGCAGAGTGATAGTACAGTGGGTAGGGTAGTACATCCTGCCTTGCATGCAGCGGACCTGGGTTTGACCCCTGGCATCCCTTATGGTCCTCTGAGCACCACCATGAGTAATTCCTGAGTACAGAGCCAGGAGTAAATCCTGAACATCTGAGTGTGGCCCAAAAAGCAAATTAAAAAAAAAAGAGAGAGAGAAAGAAAGAAATGACAAGATTATTATGTTGGCCCATCTGTCCCTGAACTAGTGACAACATCAGCGAGAACCAGGGGATAGGGGCCTGGAGGGGCTGCCAATACCTGCACAAGGGATCGTGTCCACCACCCAGTGTGGCTCCCAGGAGAAAGCACTTAAGTGCTCGGTGAATATTGATGATGCGCTGCCTCACCGCCGATGATCGTTGCTGGGGACTGAGTGTCTCGCTGGCCACAGAATGCGGAGGCCGTTATGAACTGGACTTGAGTCATTCCCTTTCAGCAGGCTCTCGCCCCCGCGAGCATCTACATCATAGCTGTCTCGGGACGGGAAACTGGCCTCCTCGCTCCAGTTCCTGAGGATGAGGAGTTATCGCATTGAGGAGGGAAGCTGTCCCTTCTCAAACCACTTCCTCATCACAGGGGGCGTTAGAAGAAGTCAATGGACAGCTGCTGGGATGGAAAAAAATGGACATTGAACAGGAAGAATCATGGTGGGTCCAGCCAGGCCCCCGCTCCTGGAACATATCCCAGGTACAGAGCTGTGGGTCGACCCAAGCAGTTAGATGTATTTTTCACATGACAAGATACTTGGAGGTACTAGCAGGCATCTGAGGTTGAGGAAATAGTTGGCAGTGCTGTCAGCTAGGTTTCCCCATCACTTTGGAGCATCTCCTCCGCGTTCAAGTTTTTATCTTCACACTTGCCCCTCATGATCCTAGGATGACTGCTGTAGCACCAAGCATCACATTCCTGGCCAGCAAATTTCAAAGGCGAATATTAAAATATCAATACCGAGTACATAGGATGGTTGGTTGCCGTGGTCCCTGCTGCTCTCTCGCATGTGGGAAACAAGCGCCTTCTATGTCCCTGGGGTTGCACCCATCAAATTCCACCAGAACGACCCTGTAGAAATTAAGGTGAGTGGATCCCCTCTAAGCTTGTCACACCCTGCCTGTGGTGGCCAGGAGTGAAGACCCCTTCCAGTTCTGCTGAGCAGGCCGGGAGGAGAGAGTCCTCCGGAGTTTGCACTTCCGGGAGCTCTGCACCTCTGCTGTCAGTGTCCTGTCAGGGCCCTCACCTTGACTCCGTGTCCCTTGCTCATTATTTCTGTCTGTTTCTCTCCCTTTTACTTTGTCTTCATGTCAGGTAAAGTGTGTGTGTGTGTGTGTGTGTTGTGTGTGTGTGTGCGTGCACGTGCACGGGCATGCATGCATGTGTGGCTTGCACACCCTTTCTGTGTCTCTGGTGCTTTCCAACTCTCTGTTTCCTCCTTTTGTTAGCTCCAGCCTCCACTCTGGTTTTTATTATTTTGTTTTTTTTTAATATTATTTTGTGTTGGAGTACAAGGAGCTTAGGTTTATCAGGTTGCACCCATCACAGTGCTCCCAAGTCAATTCCTTTGTTTTTCCCGTTCCTTTGTTTGTCTGTAACCACTTCTTTGTGCTCTCTTCCCCAACCAATTTGTAAGGTCTCATCCTTCTTAGACACTGAAGCTGTACTGTAAGTTAATATTGCCTTTCTCCTCTCCTTATGTCTTTTGAATAGTTTACTTTAATACAGTGGCCTTTTTGTATAGATGCAGGAAGACAATATTATGCTTTATAATTTAGGATTTAATTGGCTTTGAATATTATTCACTCCCGGGCATCTGCTTTCTCAACTTAAGCCTCAGTTGCCCTCACTTCCTAGCACACCAAAAGCAGGGTCCCAACTTGGGACTGGATGGAACCAGGGCAAGCCGGTAAGTTATGTGCTACCCTGGCATCGCGATGGGCCAGGCCAAGGTGCCACGATTCTTAACTATAGGTTAAGAGTTTGATCATAGGCAAATGCTGTCATGATCCAAACGTAACGACGAGACTAGGACCCTGCTGCTAAGAATAGGAAAGATATCTGGCCTGAGCACTGCAGTCTGAGATCGAGATGGCCCTAGGAGAGCAATTCTATAAGCTCAAAGTATTTCTTACTGTGTCCATACAAAATGATTTATGTTTTGTATGCTTATATGTTGGTCGGACAAGGAGAAGAGAAACACATCCAGGGAAATCTGTTCTAGGGTGGGTTGATCTGTCCTAGAAGCAGTTTTCCTGTGTGTCCTGACTAGCTTGGATGAGACTGAACCTTTCTCCCCTTCAAACTGCCTTCAGTAAATGATTTCAGTATATTGAGGCAGTTTCCCTTATCTCACAGGAACCTAACTGGTCTTAGGTAAGCAGATCTCAGGTGCTAAACCAGGCCTGATCTTAGGGATGTAGATGCCTGGCTCCTGGCAGGCTGATCTTTGAGATGTAGACTCCAAGCTCTAGCAGACTGGTCTTTGATGTGCTAATCCAAGTGCTTACA